AATCAAAACCACAATCAGATACCATCTCTCTCCAGTCAGGATGGCAATTATTAAAAAGTGAGGAGACAACAGATGCTGGCAAGGCTGTGGAGAAATGGGAACACTTTTACACTGTTGGTGGGAATGTAAACTGGTTCAACCATTGTGGAGGACAGTATGGCCATTCCTCAAAGATCTAGAACCAGAAATACTATTTGTCCTAGCAATCCCATTACTGGGTATATACCCAAGTGGCTAGAAATCATATTACTGTAAAGACATATGGACATGTATGTTTATTGCAGCACTATTTACAATAGCAAAGACATGGAACCAATCCAAATTCCTGCCAATGATAGATTGGACAAGGAAAATATGGTACATATACACCGTGGAATACTACACAGCCATAAAAAGGAATGAGTTCATGTTCTTTGAAGGGACATGGATGATGCTGGAAGCCATCATCTTCAGCAAACTAACACGAGAACAGAAAACCAAACGCTGTACGTTCTTACTTGTAAGTGGGAGTTGAACAACGAGAACACGTGGACACAGAAGGGGAACGACACACACCAGGGCCTGTTGGGGAGTAGGGGGCAGGTGAGGGAACTTAGAGGACAGATCAATGGGTGCAGGAAACTGCCATGGCAGACTCTATGTATGTAACAAACCTGCACGTTCTGCACATGTATCCTGGAACTTAAAGTAAAAGAAAATAAATTAAATAAAAAAGGAAAGTGCATGTCTTACATGTACACATATATTCATTGCAGCACTATTCACAATAGCAAAGACTTGGAATCAACCTAAATGTTCATCAATAGTAGACTAGATAAAGAAAATATGACTGCCTGTAATCCCAACACTTTGGGAGGCCGAAGGGGGCAGATCATGAGGTCAAGTGATGGAGACAACCCTGGCCAACATAGTGAAACACCATCTCTATTAACAATACAAAAATTAGCTTGGTGTGGTGGTGTGTGCCTCTAGTCCCAGCTACTTGGGAGGCTGAGGCAGGAGAATTGAACTCGGCAGGCAGAAGTTGCAGTGAGCTGAGATCATGCCACTGCACTCCAGCCTAGTGACAAAGTGAGACTCCATCTCAAAAAAAAAAAGAAGAAGAAGAAGAAGTGGGAAATATACACCATAGAATACTATACAACCATTAAAAAGAATGAGATCATGTCCTTTGCAGGAACATGGATGGAGTTGGAGGCCATTATCCTTAGCAAACTAAAGCAGGAATAGAAAACCAAATACCACATGTTCTCACTTATTAGTGGGAGCTAAATGATGAGAAAACATGGACATGTAGAGGGGAACAACACACACTGGGGTCCACTTGAGGGTGGAGGGTGGGAGGAGAGAGAGGATGAGGAAACAGCTAATGTGTACTAAGGCTTAATACTTGGTTGGGTACTAATGGGTACAGAAATAATCTGTACAACAAAACCCCATGACAGAAGTTTACCTATGTAACAAACCTGCACAAGTTCCCCTTAACTAAAAATAAACGTTAAATTAAAAAAAAAAAAAAGTGCATGTCTGGAAAGGGCATATGGTTGGTTCTGTGTTTTTTTTTAAACCAAGTCACACAATCTCTGCCCTTCATTGGAGTGTTGGTTCCTGTAGGTTTTTGTCATTATTGATGTGATAGGAACTTTGTGCAGTGGCAATATCGTATCCAATGAGGTTCATCAGAGGCACGATTATTGCTAATTGAAAACTTTTCCTAATACCCGCCATGACGACTTGAAATATAGTCAGTGTTGGCAATTTTTGGCAGTTTCTATGGGGACAGAATAAAAAAAAAGATAGGATAGGTTTTAGGTCTACCATGTCGTTTTCCCAGTTTTAGTGTCTCTGTTCCTCTTGCCCTGGCCAATGTCTTCTTATTAAAAACCATAGAAACAAAGAAACCAAAAAAAAAAGTAGAATAACATCTTTAAAGCACAAGAAGAAAATAAAGTCAACTAAGAATTCTATATCCAGCCTAGATGTTCTTCAAGGACAGGCAAAATAAGGAGATATTTCTGGTAAAAGAAAATTAAGAGAATTTGTCACCAGCAGATCTTCACAGTATCAATTGGTAAAGAAAATTCTTCAAGGTAGAGGCAAATGCTACCAGGTGGAAAATGAGATTATCAGAAAAGATGAAGATGATCAATCATGGTAAATACTGAGCTAAGTGCAAAAGGCTATCTTGCTCCCCTCATTTACTCTCACTTTGTATGTA